TCTTTTATTCTGACGGCAGTTTATCGTGCATAAAGCTTATAAAAGAAAATTTTAAACGTAATTTTTTACACATAGAAGAAATAATAGATAACAAATGGCTTATGAACGATCATATTTTGGAATGTTGTGTGGTAGACTGGAAAGCGATAAATTGAGTGAAAGAAGTGGAAACAATGCTGCCAGATGTAGTTTTAGCTGTCGATGTTGTGTATGACAGCAGTGTTTTTGATGATTTATTACATGCCATTGATTACGTGTTTAAATTGAAACAGAATAAAGTAAAAATGTTTCTGGCTGCTACTTTTAGAAATCAAGCAACTTTAAATGGTTTTCTTAACAAATCAGGTGAACAACATTATAATGGAATTCTTTAAAAAAATGTAATATATATATATATATGTTTTTATATATTTATTTTTAGGAAATCTTCGTTTTCAACTAGATAAGGCCGTAGTTATACCTTTAGAAGAGAGTTTCCTTTATTGGGATCGCTCAACGCCGGTTAGAATTTTAATTATAACGATATAATCTCATTATATGCAAACCATAACACGGCATCATATCGCTGAAAGTGGAGAAAATGTTTTCCAAATCAACTCATCATCGAAAATGCTTCTTTTACAATGGAAAAATGCCCCAAGAAGACTTCCAGCAAGCAAAACGGGCGCATTATTATATGTAACATTATATGTAATGTCATCAATGTTGAAATACTCTCTTTAAGAAAAGGAGCAAAATTTTACATTTTAATTTGATGCGCACATCAAGGAGGTTCTATACACAAATATAAATTTTTAAACACATTTTTCACTAGAGATTCTAACTTATGGACGAGTTTATATCGACATAATTAACCAGACGTAAATTTTGCTCTTAATTAAAAAAAGTCCACAAAATTGCAATTAAGCCAAACATAAGTGAAAGTAAACAAATATTTTGCTAAGAAATACGAAAATAAAGAGTGAAACTAGTCAAGAAGTAAATTACGTTGTGTAACACACTCAATTAGATTTATTTGCAAATAATGTAATGAGAACATTTTACTTAAAAAGTCAGCTTTAGCAGAGCGAAACATAGATCTATTGGTGTGCGCTTGCAGTGAACTTCTTAGTTTTGCTAGGGAGGCAGCGTTGGGTTCGTGATGTTTGAGTTTAATGATAGCTCCACTTCTGATTAGGCTCGTAAGAATTAGTTTATTCAGTGACAATGCTATCTCTTAGAAATAAATTTATAACGTAAACATCTAAGCTTCACGAGATTTGTTCCCAATCATCCCATAAATTATATACATTCCTTCGAAAAACCAACAGGGCTAGTTTACGGTACTCGATAGTATTGTTTTGTGTGTTTATTTGGCTGGGTTGCTGCCGAATCGCGAAAATTGTTTCAGTTGAGACTAAACCACGAAATATTTAACATTTTACTGGTGTGTTAATAAGAATGTACGTCCAAATAAATACAACGAAGAAGAATGAAAAAAGTAAGTAAGCAAAACACTAGTCCAGATAAGTTATATATGTATATTTTTTTAAATTATATTTTTATAACCCTCCAATTCTTCTTTCAGTACTTTCCTTTTAGTTTATGGCACCAGAGGACAAAAGCACCGAAAGTAATTGTTTGCGTTTTGGAATTTTGGTCATTAATAAAATTAGGCAGTCTATGTTTATTACTTGCGTCAAGTATGTACATTTCTCAATAATGTTTTACTTTGTTTTCCCTTTTAATATTCTTCTCGACAGTAACTTTATGTCCGACCAATCTTTCATTTTGTAACGACAAAAATGCATATCTTGTTGACTGCTGTGAACGCATTACTCATTATGTCATCTCGGTACTATAAAAAATTTTACTCCAGTATATCCCAAAGAAAGTTATGTTACACTGTTCTGCCAATTGCGGGTAACACTATGTACCGATATTACGCGTTCTCCCTGTGAAGCGCTAACTTATTTTGACAAATATTTGTTCTAAGTTTTCGGCTCATATCTTTCTTATAGTTTCTTGGCTTCTTTGAGCGTGATGTGCACGATCAAGTAAAACAAGAATATCAAGTATCAGCTTGCTTTCTACCTCAATTATTTAGACGAACGGCAGAAAGAGCTCAGTCGACTTTGAATGATACGCCAGTCTTATGCAATCTCCACCGCGTATTTCTGAATAATAGAAATAAACGGACGAACCTAGTCCTCCTCTCCTTGGGCGGCAAAAAAATTTGGCGATGCATTTTCTTTCTGGTTCTACTTTTAACGAATTTTTAATTTTCCTCATCGAATGTCCACTATCACAATACGCATAGTTCTGCTGTAGTCATCGGAAGCAATATACCGGTTAAAACAATGTCTCTCTCGACATTATATTTCATACCATCTACTGCATACGTAGCAAATACGTTCTGAATTTTTAAACGTCCAATGGATGACTGTACGCATTTTTAAAGAGATTCCTCAAAACTAATGCTACGTATGTGTCAAAAAAGCTATGAAGTTGTGGCATAAATTATTCAACAATGACATAATTTCTGCGTTTTTGACTACATTTTTTATAAGTTGAATTAAAAATAAAATATAAAATTTCCCTTCATTTCTTTCATTTTTTATGACCAACTTTCAACCCGTGTTTTTAAGTTGGTTATGTAATGGAAAATATAATTTTGCTGACGGCTTTTTTTAAAGTAACAATTACCAATTTTTTTTTAAGTTACCTTAAATAAAATATGGCGACAAGTATCACTCCACCATATTCTTACATTTATATATCGGAAACGAATTTACTATAAATACTTTTTACTATATTACTTGCAAAGTACTAATTACCGAGAAAATTTAATCGTTTTGTGCTAAAAATATATAAGTTGCAAAAACATCAATAAAACGCCGTTATTTGATGTGGAGGCTTTGCTAGACTTCGCCCATAAATTGCATATTTTGCAAATCTACCCAAATATTCAAAAATGTTCCTAGAAGAAATACAATAGATGGTAGCAAATTTCAAACATTATTAACAAATTAATACAAGCATATCCGCCTGAGTGGCCGAGTAGGCAAGAGTCTCGACTAGCAACTCAATAGTCGTGGGTTCAAACCTCAAGTGTGGTAGAGTTTTTTAATAAAAGCCGATAGCCCTAGATGCTAGTGCTTTAAAACTTTAGTCTTAGAATTTATTCTCTGGCTAAATTTATAATAATAATAATAATAATAATACAAGCATATATTAATCTTTTATATTTGTGTCGTTGTTAAATGAATGCTTGCTAACGTAGAGCAATTTTCACGGAGACGTTTGCAAACAAAAAGTATATGCTTTTCTTATGAGTTAGTAGTGCTTATGGCAGTAAAATTGACAAATTTTACCTTATTACCTCCAAACGGTAAAGCCTTATTTTTGTATATGTTGCTGCACCTCCGTCTACTAAAGATGAGCAGTGCGTATTTGCTAAGAATGTGACGGTGACTGTCACTATATATTTTAATTGCCTTCTAGTAACTATACTGGCTTAACTATACTAAGCTTAACTTAGTATGGTAAGACTCTAAATGATTTATGAAACCAAGCGAAATCTCAGTTTAAACTGAATACCCTCTATGATGCTCTTATACGAACCGTAAGTGTTTCATGCCAGCTTCTGTATTCCTCGTGATCAAAATATCACAGAAACGTCCTAGTTAATGTTGGAAACGTGAACTTCCATGAATATCCAGTTGACTTTGTTGACATTAATTTTCACAATTTTTACGCTTCATCTCAATAAGCGATTGCTTATCGAAATCTCCCCTTTCCCGGCGCATGTTCATATATTCTTTGATGTGATCGCTTCTCGTTTATTTTTATCTAGCTTTCTTATCGCATCATCTAGCATATCATAGGTTAATACCGGATACGTGTAGTGTTGTGTTTGAAAATAATTAGTACACGGTTTGACTTGTTGGAATGATGTGGATGTAGATTACCAATTCGAGTTAGAATTTATAATCAAAACAAAAAAAAAAAAAACAAATCGTTCTATGTAGTTATTCTATCCCATGCATATCATCTCACCAAATATTTGTGATATTAAAAGAAAATCATTTGTTAAATTTTATTTAATTGATTCGAGGTCAAGCAAGAAAGATTTAAGTAATTCTGTTCTATGAAATTTTTAATTTACGAGCTAAAAAAAATATTTAAAAAAACGAAAAAAGATTAATTTTTTTATGTTTCAATTAAAGTTAAATTAGAAAAGAATACTTAATTGAATTGTAAAGAGAGATAGGTAAGTTAAAAAGACTTACAAATGATAATTCCACGATAATTCCACTTTCTCGAAGAACTACTATTGGCCACAACAATGCAAAAGAAAAAGAAGATTAAATACGTATTAAGATTATTATATATTTTAAAAATAAAAATAAGGAAGTTACAACAAGCTTGTTTCTTGATTAGTCATAAAGTGATTAGATAAAAAATTGAAATAAACGAGATATTGGGTCGGACGACTTTTTGAAACGCGTGAAGGTGACGTAGTATCTGGGATATCGTTCGACAAATGTATTCGCACGGCCATTAGAATAAAAGAATTTGAAGAATATATTTTGTTTTATTGCCTTTATTACTTCTTTTTCATTTCTTAAAAGTAATCTTTGACATAAACCAAAATTGTAAATCACATAATATAAATAAAATGTACGTTAGTGTAAGATAAACAAAAGTTAGATAAATAACCTTAAAATTTAAAGAAACGATTATCATTTATATTTGTGCGCTTTTTTTTTTTGGTTTATTTTTATGTATACACGTAGAACGGTATGTTTTGTCAATTCCCATTAAGTTTAGAAATAAGCCTACAAAGCTCAGCCCGAAATAAGAATAGTGCCTCATTGTGTCAGTTCCCTTAGTGTAAAATACTGAATGAGAGACAGGAGAAAATTTGTGAGCCCTGAAAAGATTTATGGAAAAAACATAAAAGCAAATGATAAAAACTAATCTTATCAGAAAACTGTAAAAATAAAAAAAATTATAAACTAAAAAATAAATGAAAGATTTAAAAAAAAATTACATAATTATTTTTACTTATTTTTGCTTTCAAATTGACGAAATCTTGCGTGTTTTGTAAAAGTGAAACTAAGTTATACCTGCCAATTTTGTATGAATTTTACATCGTTTTGTTAAATTGTTTATCTAAAATGTGTATGAAAATTTCGGTGAAGAAACCACTAATATAAGGTTATACTTGGGCAAACAATTATTAGAATTATTTTTTTAACATATAAAATAAATGAAAGTAAATCGGACGCGTTTTTCGTATTGTTCTTGTTACAATATTATCCTTTCCTAGTGTGCTATCGCAGTAAATTAATTTTGCTATCAGGTTATAAAAAACGCAGCCACTGAATGTTATCGATAATTTATTTATATTATATTATAGGATAAACTTCCATCTCTATTCTATTTATTCTGTTGTGTAATATAAAATTTGTAGGTAATTTCTGGAGTTGTTGTTTGCAGAATACTTAATCAACGCAATTTTTTAGTATTAAACAATGTCAACTTCAGCAGGTCGAAGTGTGGGTTTGTTGACACGCGCTTGGCATGAAATTCCTGACATCGTTGCCGGGTCAGTACTGGCTATAATTGGAGTCGGTTTGAGTGCGATTGGTCTAGTCAATTATTATAATCACGACGGTGATAACCGCCGATATAAAATGACTTACGTAGTAATGCGCCCTGACGACCCAAGAGCTGAGAAAGTTCATAAGGATTAACTTGCAGCAACGAATGTTTGTTGGTACCAATTTTATTAAATACAATTAAAATGTCATTTAAGCTAAAGAAGTCGTATGTTTTTGTTTATGGAAGATTTTTAAGTGCAAATTTAATGCTTTTTCGGTAAAAAACGTTTTACCACACAGAGGGCATAGTTCATTTACATCTGCTGCTGGCGGTAAATTTGTTGTAGATTCTGTGTTTTTGGCGACGAGATCGTTTTTTAAGGCGACTGTGTATTGTACGATGGATGCTTTTCCAAAGTACTCCTCGTACATTTCATCTTTATGAGGGAGTGTTGTTTGCTGCGTATTGTCAATGTTTCCTTTCTCATGTAAAAGCTTATGAGATACTTCAAACTCTTGTTGTGCCAATTTATATCTTTTTAAGAAGTGGTATGATATTTCCAAGCGTTTGACACAGTTGTAACAGATGTAATCTGGGCACATTTTTGAATTTTCCACTGAAAACGGTGTACAATACTCAAGCATCTCCAGAATTGTTGTAGAGGCTTCCGTTAACTGGGCGTTAAATATGCTTAAAAGATCATTCTGCTGGGTATTACAAGCACGGCACAAATTATTAAATATATCACCCATCCTCTTTAAGTCTATGTATTATTTGTGTTTTTGAAACTAGAGATGGAAAATATTTGACGATGGTAATAGACACGAAATTTTTTTCATAATTTGGATTTCGGGCTGAACACATAACAACTTTATGATCATGCTTTGAAATTTAAGTTGAATAAAGTGAAGACAATGCACACACAAAAGTTTTCAGGCGTAGCATAGCATAGCATAGGTTTCACCGACTTTTATGTAAATTTATAGAGAAAAACATTTACACCACATATTATAAACAGAAACAAAGGGAGAATAAGAAATAGGATGAGAAACACCAAATGATTAAAAAGGCATTAGCAAGTGTTTGGGGGACTTAGTGGTTCATAATTTTAATCTTCTTGTTGAAACTATTTTCTATAGTTGGGAGCCAAATTGCTTACGGCGAACTGTTGGGGCACTCTACTAATTTTAAATTGTAATTGCAGCAGTTAATTGTAATTTTCTTTTAGTTAATTCTATTGGATATATGGATTTATTGATTAATGAAAGAGATATGCACTTCATGCTTATTGAAATTTTATTCTTTTATGATGAAGTTTAGAATATTATTATTGATATATATCTAGTGTAAAGTTTAAACTTTAATGATTCAATGCGGATCGGACGGTGTTTTATTTGTAGTCACTTCAATACATTAAATTTGCCCTTAAAGGGCTTTGTATTGTTAACTGAATACACATAAATATATATAAAGCGCATGAATGAAGCTACAAAGGACACATCTAATGGAAATAAGAAAAGAGCAAATTAACAATTTTTCATCAATATCCATCAATTCAGATATTGTTGAGCGACATTACCTAAGGAAAGTTACGAAACGTCTTTGACGACCGACCAGACGAATTGCTCCTTTAGGACCCATATCCCGAGATTACCGCAGAAATGATACGGAGAAAGTCGAAAATAATGTTTGTAGAACTTCAAACACAAAATAAATTTCACAAAGTAAAAATTTCTAACCAGCCCAAACCACATGAATTGGTCTACTAAACGTTAAGCAATTTCATGATTAAGTTTTTTTAGGTGAAAAAGCTATTAAATCTTTACCACCTAGGCCTCTCATCTTCTCAATATTAATTTTACACAATACGTTAAGATTCAATCAATTACGTGACTAAACATATTAAGGCAGGAATGCACGTACGGACTAATTAGTTTACTGGTTACTTTTTCAAATATATTTGAGAAGATATATCTCTTAAGACTACTCTCAATTCTAGAGCGAAAGCTTATTATTCCTGATCGCCGACTCGAATTTAGGAATAAAAATGATACCACTGCGCAAAATCATCGCATTGTTTCGTACATCAGAAAAGCCATTGAAAAGTTATTGCGTTAGTGTTTTCCTAGATGTGGAAAATACCTTGGAATAAAACCTGCCATGATGGGCTACTTTTTAAAATTAAAAAGTTCCTTCGAACTCCTATATATTTGCTGGTAAAATCCTATTTGCAAAACAAACATTTGTATGTTACAGTTGACAAAGATAGATCCACTATATATAAAATTGAAGATTGACTGACCAAAGGAGGTGTTTTCAGTCCAATACTCTAAACAAATTTTCATTTCAGGTCTCACAATTCGTCTGAGTAACTTACCTGCTGCATAGGCTGATAACACGTCACTACTATTCTCATCTAGTGTTCCCGTACATGTTTCCTACCAACTAAAACCTCATCTCAATACAATTTCACCTTGACTGGACAAAGCGAATATTAAAATAAATATTAAAAAGTCTATGCTAAATAAGAGTTCTTGTCTTTCACTATTTCTGAACGGCAATAATATTCATGTTTTCATATCCATCACCGAAGGGTGAGGG